AGAGAGAGAAGGGCAAGGCTACCTAAACTCTGCCCTCTTATGCTCAATCAATCAATCTCCCCTTCCTCAGAGTGAAGAATGCTCTCAATTGCCCTCTTGGCTGGGCATATCTTATATAGTATATGGCCTGTAAAACTGTGGTGGCCTTGTGTGAGAAAAGGGTTTTTAAGGTTAGAAGAAATTTTTAGTGAAATCATTTGTTACAATTGTGTGTGTATGTGTACGGTATTTGCAGCAGTCTGGATGCAGATATGAAGGCAAAATGATTGATCCCTATGGCAAAATTGCAAGGGGACAAGTTATTTAATAGTTACTAGCACTGGCAAGTTTCATGGGTAGTGGAATGAAGGATGAATGGCAATGGAAGATGTGGCAGACATGTTCATTAGCCATCATTTTTCTTCCATATGAATAGAATCACCATTTTTTTCATGTGTTGGGCAAAATTCAGTATGGGAAGGTAGGCCCAATTCAAGCATCAAATCACAATCAGTTTAAACTAATCATGGAAGTCACATTCCTCTATGCCATTGGTTTCAGGTCAGGCATGTGACCTAGTTCTGGCCAAAGATGTAAGAAAAGTATGACAGTAACATCTGGGAAGTTTTTCTCCCAGCAAAGACACAAAAGAAACACTCATTTTTCTCTCCTTTATATGTGGCCTCCTGAGGCAGTGATGTTTAGAGATATGTCAGCCATTTTATAACCACGAGGAGACAAACTTGAAGTCAAAAGCCTACACAATGAGGAAAAGAAATAAATGTGGAACCTGGGTCTGCCATGGACATTATTAAAGATAGCAGGATTACTGCTGATCACTCTTTTTTCAGAAATTTCTCCTTTGTCTTCTCAGAAACCACTTTCTCCTTTATCACCACTCGTTGTTCTTAGAAGTTACTATTTTTCTACTTGTTTCCCCAGGGTTTGCTCTCAGTTCTCTGATTTTCCTTTTTTTCCCCCTAGTGATTTTCAACTGAGGGATGGGTAATTAAAAAAAGAATGTTAATATTATTTTATGCTTCAATATTTATTTATTTATTGCCTGGGCTCAAATATAGTCATAGCTCACAGCAACCTCAAATTCCTGGGCTCAAGTGATCTTCCTGCCTCAGCCTCCCGAGTAGCCCACCACCATGCCTGGCTAATTTTTTCTATTTTTAGTATAGATGGGGTCTCACTCTTACTCAGCCTGGTCTTGAACTCCTGAACTCAAGCAATCCTCCTGCCTTGGCCTCCCAGAGTGCTAGGATTACAGACACGAGCCACCGGGCTGATAATCTTTTTAGAAATAGTTTTATAGAAATGCAATTCACATGCTGTACAATTTGTCCATTTAAAGTATACATCAGTGAGAAATGTTCTGTCTCTGAAAATTAAAAAAATAAAGTGTCCTATTCAATAGTTTTTAATCTATCTACATAACTGTAACCATGACCACAATCAATTTTAGAAAATTTTCATTATTCCAAGAAGAAACTCCATACCCATTAGCAGTCACTCTTCATTTTTCCCCAGCCCTAGGAAGCCAATACTGTACTTTCTGTCTTGTATATTTACATATTCTGGACATTTCATATAAATGGAATCATGGTCTTTGTGAGTGGCTTCTTTCACTTGGCATAATGTTTTCCAGGTTCATCCGTATTATAGCATGTATCACTAACATTTTGGCTTTATAATACAAACTACTGAAAAGAAAACTTTGACAAAGTATTTTTGGCTGGTGAGAATTCATAAAAGATGCAGTATAGGAAAGTATAACAGAACTTCTAATTGGCATGAGATGAGTATGAAAAAGAAGCAGTTTCAAAGTATTTATTGAGCATCCATTTGCCACTATTAACTATTAACCATACATGGATGACTCCCTAATTGCTATCGTCATTCCTAAATGATCTTTTAGGCACCAAAATTACATTTCCAATTGTTCATATCTACTTGGGTATCCAGGAGCTGGCACCTTGAACTCAATTGTTCCTTTACCAAGGACCTCCTTATTTTTGCCAAAGACAGAATTCACCCAGGCTCAGTGGCTCAATCTTTAACTTCTCTTTTTGCTTTCATATCCAATCAGTTGCCAAATCTTATAAATTATATTTCTCAAATTTTTCTTCTCTTTTGGCATTTTAATATTATTATGAGTTGAACTGTATGTCTCCACAAAAAGATATATTGGAGTCCTAACCCCCACTACCTCAGAAAATGACCTTATTTTGAAATAGAATCATTGCAGATATAATTAGTTAAGATGAGGTCATACTGGAATAGGATGGGTCCCTAATCCAATACAACTGGTGACCTTATAAAAAGAACACTACGTAAAGAGACAGACACAGGGAGAATGCCAGGTGAAAATGGATGTAGAGACTGGAGTGATGCATCTACAAGCTAAGAAGTGCAAAAGATTGCTGGCCATCACTAGAAACTAGGAGAGGCATGGAATGATTTTCCTTCAGAGTTTCCAGAAACAACCAAACCTTCTGACACCTTGACTTTTAGCCTCCAGAACTAAGGTGCGGTGATAAATTTTTGTTGTTTGAAGTACCAAGTTTCTGGTACTTTATTGCTGCAGCACTAGGAAACTAATACAAATACTAAATGACTTCATAATAGTTTAGGCATTCATTATATCATATATTCCAAATCTTATGTCATCTTTTCCTCTACTACCCTAGACCAAGCCATCATCACTTCGTATCCAGGCACTATTAATAGATTCCTAATTGTCTCCCTGCTTCCAAGCTTGTATCCTTATGTTATCCTTTAATAACATAAATCAGATCATATCAATTTTCTAGTCAAAACCCTCCAATAACATCTTTAAATGGACACTTAAACAGCTGTGTTGATCAAACAGCTGCCTAGCTCTCACACCTCACTTCCCGGTACTCTCCTCCATCTCACTACCTTTCTTTTCTTTTTTATTAGATGAGTTCAATTCCCCCGTTGCACAAACTCTTTGCCTGAAATACTTTTCCTTTCATGGCTCATTTCTTTTTGTCATTATATTTCAGCTTAAATGTCAGTTATGAATGGCCTTCCTCGAACACCAGAATTAAAACATACACATTTGCTCAATTTTAATTCTTGACAGTGCACTTATCACTATATGGCATTATTTTTTATTTTTTATATATTTCATTGGTAATTGTCTGTGTCTCCCCTTCCTTCTGTGCCCAACAGAATGTGAGCTTTATGACAAGTGGGACTTGTCTTATGCATTATTTATCTGCAGTACCAGGGAAAGTGGCTGGCACATGGGACTTCAATATACATGTGCTGGATTATGAACCAGATGGACTACACTCCTGCTCTTGTGGAGCTTACGTTCTAAAGGGGGAGATCAATAAATAAGAGAAAAACAAACACTTAAATTTTGTTAACTGTTTCATGGAAGAGAATGAGCTTATATAAAGGATATTGAGGAATCTATAATTAGAGCATTCTCAGAGATGAGTTGACACTTATGCTGAGACCTGAATGAAGGCTGGGAAGGAACTAGCCTTGTAGAGCTCAGGGAAGAGAATTTCCAACAGAGAGAATAGTAATAGTCTTAGAAGCTCCAAAGAGTTCATTGAGTTCCAGAAAAGTCAGTGTGGCTATAGTATAGTATAGTATAGTGAAACTGGAGAATGATGAAAAAAGTGGGTAGAAAGGTAGTAGTCAGAGTCCAGATTACACAAGCCTTGCTAGAGAATGGAAAGTTTACATTTTATTCAAAGTGAAATGGTATGCCATTTAAGTTGCTAACTGACATCATCTGATTTACCGCTAACTATCCAAACTCTACCCCTGACCAGCATCAAAATCACCTGAGCTTGTTAACATTGCAATCTGAGGCACCACTCCAGAACTAGTTTGAGAAACACTGGTATTGAGAATGGATCAGGGTGGGACAAAGTAGAAGTGAAGAAACCAGTTAGAGAGATATGCTATGGTCCAAGTGAGAGATGAGGTGGCCCTGTATAAGAGTGATAACAGCTGGGTGTAGAGGTTTGCACCTATAATCCCAGTGACTTGGCAGGGTGAGGTGGAGGATAGTTTGAGCCCAGGAGATCCAGGCAGCCTGACTGAGAGCAAGATCCCATCTCTAGGAAAAAAAAAAAAAAAGAGCAAATAGCAGAGGGACAAGATGACTGATTTTAGATTATGGAGATCTTAGTAAGCAGGAAGTGACATGAACATGGATTCCAAAACAAGTCTGACTGAAGATATATATTTGGGGGGGGTCTACTGGGTGTCCTACTTCTGTTTTTTTTCCCCCCCAGTGCTTTATATTTTACATACGTTTGCATGTTCTTTGTCATCTTTATGGAACAGAAAGCATGCCTTGCCTTAAGGCTGTCCAAGTCTTCCACTTTTTCACAGTGAGGTCCTGTCTACAAGTCTACATATCTTTCAAGCCTTTATTAAATACTTCACAAAAATCTTTCCTTTTGAATGTTTTAAAACTCAAAGCCCAAGGCTGAGCAATACTGTTCCTCCACCATAGTCCCTAAAATTCTCCAGTCCTAGGTTTTAACAGAGAGAGAAAACATTCTCAAGCCAGAAACTGGATATTCTCCCGAGTTTCCAGGTGCAAAGCAGGTTGGAACCTCCTAGGTTGGTGGCTCCATTTTTCTTGGCGTCCAATTCTGTATTCTTAAAAAAGAATAATTGAACTAGAAGCCAGTAAGTGAAAAGGAATAAAAGTGGGAACTTCCCAAGCCAAGAGGAAGAGAGGTTTCTTGCCTTATCATTGTTAAGTAAGTGGCAGTGGAATTCCAATTCCATGATCTTCTTCCATACCATTTATCATAAAATATAGATTAATGGTTGAAAAGCTTGTTACAGCTATAAACACAGGCAAATGCTTTTGTCTTTTCTTTTTGGCCGTATGGAGAATGGGAAAAATTCTTGCCATGATTTCAACTTTCTGCTGTTGGCAGTCCGGAAAATGGTACCAGAACATCAGGGGTATTCCCGGCTCCTGTCTCTTGGTTAAATTCATGAGACAGGACAAACTCAGGAGAGCCCTGGTTATTAAATGATATTAACGTTTTCAACAGTATTACTGTACTTACACTTGACTGTTCCCCTCCCTGTGAATTTACTTGATATGTCTGAAATACTGCCCCACCAAGAAATTCTCACAACTTTGAAAAGGAAGGTCCCTTCCAAGAAACCGTATTTCCAACCTGAATGGGGCGCCGCCATTGGGTCTTGCTTAAAGCAAGGAAAACCGCGTCTGCTTCAGACCCAAAAATGGGTCAGAGTCAGGGGAGGGCAAGGCAGAGTGAAGTCCGCTCGGGACCCGCCTCCTCGGGTGGCCTCAGTTCCTGGGGAAAGAGGCTGGGGGGAGGAAAGGGCAGATCCTCGCAGCCTCCAGGTGCCAGACGCGTGAGTGAGCGGAGAGGTCTCGGCGCCTCCTAACCGCCCGGGACTGCAGGACTGCGTCCAAAGAGATCACCCTAGGTCCCGCTCCTCCCCGCCGGCGGGGGGAGAAGGGGGTAGAAGGCCTCTCTCACCGGCTATAAAGGGCCCTGGGTCGCCGTGGCTCGCCTAGGCTCGCCTCGACACGCCTAGGCGTCCTCCGGCTCCGCCCTTGCCGCCTGGGCTCCCCCCTCGAGCTCCAGTTCCCGCTCGGGCCCCACTCGACCCTCTCGGGCCTCGGCTACTCGGGCTGCAGCGGAAGATGGCGGCTTCGGCGACTCCCGCGGCTCGAGCCCCCGACTCCGAGGCGGCGTTAGCTGCCGCCCTGGCGGACGTACCCGAATTGGCCAGACTCTTGGAGGTCGACCCGTACCTAAAGCCCTTCGCTGTGGACTTCCAGCGCAGGTACCGCCCGACTCCCTCCACCCCCAGGACAGCCATGCAGTCCGCCTTCCGGGAACCAGCTCTGGACTTGGGCCGTCCGTACCCCTCGCGCGCGCCGGCCCCGCCCCCGGCGGGGAGGAACCTCGGTGGGCGGGGCGTCGGCTGGTTCGGGAAACCGGGGTCAGTGGTTTTGAAGTTGCGGGCTAACAGCTCTGACCCCCGGAATGGCCGTTGAAGCGCTGAATAAACTTTCCGCGTCCCCTCTCCCCTCCCTTTTAATCAGCGGTCTTGCGCCGTAGGGTACGTGCTTTGCCTCCCAACACTCGTTTCCTCTGGTGCTGCTGGAAGTGATGCAACAGCACTGCAAGTTTTCTGACACTTGCACGCACCAGCGTGGTCCTGTGAATTAGGGTGGGCATAACACCCGGCATGTGTAATTGCGCATTTAAAATTTTCTAGTGTATTTCATAGCAAATATTGTGATTTTTTTTTTTTAATCTAATAGGATTCCCTCAGGCAGACACTCTATCCTAAATTTTGTTCTTTCCTTGCTAATGTTCCCCTTCTTGGCGAAGGTTAAGCCTAGCTTGGTAAATTTTTTTCCCCCCTTGGCCAACATTGATGAGTTAAATGTACAGCGGCGTTCGTCCATTTTTGACTTTGTCATCCTTAAGTGGGAGAAAGGCGAGGAAGGCCAAATTTCTAAAGGCCAGTGTAGGATGCTTTAGTATTAGCTTGTCTCTTATCATTGTGTACCATTGATTTACCACAATTTAGTTACTGGGCTAAGGATTCTACTAATCAGCTCAACTAAAAAAGTATAGTTTTTTAAACTGAAAAGAGTTGTTATACTAGTTATAATAGTTACATTTGTGAGGTAAGCTCACTATGATTTAATAGTTGGTGCCCTTTTAGGAGAGCCACTGCAGAATGAAAACTACCCTGCTAATAAAATATACATAGCCAATTTTTGAAGTAATAGAAAACATCCAGCTAGTTACTGGCATGAAACAGCATTAAGGTTAATAAAAATGAGCACTTAAAGAATGTTAAGGTTCTTTGTTAACATGATTTGGACTTTTTTTTTTTAACAACTTAAGTTTGTGTCCTGGCATTGTCAGATATTACATGTATTCAATTCAGTAAACATGTATTAAGCAACTTCTATGAACAAAAACACTGCTCCAGGGATTGTGAGAAGTAAGTTGCATGTGTCTCCTTTTAGAGCTTGAGTATACTAATGAATGGACCCCTAGCAAAGTAGTTGCCTTGAGCTGCTGCTTACTTAATCTGATGATTATGCTCTTGTATAAACCATTTCAGGAGCAGCCTTGTGAAATTGCTTTCAGAAATTGCAGTATATGCTTTCAAAGAAACTTAGTACATAATCCCCGTAGTTTAAGATTGGATTTGTTTTAGAAATAGTCAAAACATTTTCGAGCAAAAGATTGTGATTAAAGGTGGTGGTCACATTTTTTCTTCATGTACTGTAACGATGACAATTTACCTGTGTGTTTTGTAAAATGACATTTAAGACATTTTTAAAAGAAGAGTCGTGGAACTCTTTTGTCTGTCTCCCCTCCCCCCTTTTAAAATAGTACAAGCAGACATTCTTTGTTAAGTTCTTCTTTCATATACTTCCCTTCCAACTCCCCTAGGATTGAAGCAGTTATAATCTTTCATGGTTTGTCAAAACTAATGAAGGGGACAAAGGCCAGAATAAAGAAGTGGGGGGATCCAGTGTTCTTGGTAAAAAGTCTGGTCCAGTGGGCCTTTATGCCTCACTCTGACCTGGTTTCTACTTCTGGCTTTGGTTCTGAGTAATTGCCATTTTCCAGTCCACATGTTGCAGTTAGGCATATCAAATAGTATTTTGGCATGAATAATAAAAAATTCCTTGTTCCCGCATTCTGGTCTTGGTTCCTTGTCCTATTTCTGTTTATTTCTAATTACCTACTTGGGCAGTTTGTCTTTGGCCTAACACAAATACATAGTCAACCATTTAGGTGCAAAGTATGCTTACTAAGGAGTGAAAAGAATTTGGGGTATAAACAACAATGTATAAGAATGGTGTAGAAGGCAGTTTCTTCTCATTGATAGACTGTCTCATACTTCCCCAACAGATGTCTTTTCGTTTTAAATTGTTTTGTATATTTGTTGTATTTTGAATGAGATGTGGAGGATAAGTGAGTTACTCTGTGCTATAAAACAAAAATTAGTACATTAGTGTGAGGGATCCCCTCCATGATGTCTCATTGATTACCTCCCAAGGTGCAAGGTGGCATTTTCTACTTGGTGTGCCTGCTTTTTTAAAATTTTTTAAATTATTTTTTTAATTATTTTTTTTACCTATTGTTTACCCTGCAATTAGTTATTGTGGTCATAATTCTAAAATCTTAGGGCTTTAAAACAACAACATTTAATTGTCCCCATATTACATGCCAGTGTGAATCAGCCAGAGGACTCTCCTTATTACATTCACTCAAGCATCTAAGCTTATGAAGGATTTGTTTTGAAGCATGCTTCTACAATGGTAGTGGGAAGGAATAGAGAATATGCTGAACTATGCACTGTTTCTTACAGCTCCTGCTTAGCAGTGTGTCCCCCCCTGCTAATACATTATATTGGCCATTGCATGTTGGCTTGCCATGTGGGTGGAACAGAAAACTGACATTTGTGAATCACTGGTCAGAACACCACAATTACATTAAGACTAATGTACATCTTCTGTTTAAAGTAGATATAGTACTTTCAGATATAGTATTTTATTTAATCCTATAGCAAACTATGACACAGGCATGGTGGAAGATTTTCCTGTTTTACAGATGAAGAAGCTAAGTGACTGGCTTCAGTTCACAGGGCTAGTAAGTACGCAAGTGAGATTAATCTTTCTTTACTAAAAATGCTCAACAAGTTCATAACTTCTTCATAATTTAAGGGTAACTCTTTTCTTTATCTCTAGCATTATATACTTTGTATTCTTTCTTGGCTCTTTGGAGCTGTGATCTTGCTTTTCTTCCATTTTCTCAGCCTCATTCTGACCATTTAATGTAAGAGATTCTCAGTGCCCTTCCCTAGGGCCTTTTATGTATTTCTATTTTCCATTCTTTCCCTAGACATTTTCATCCATCCCATGGATTCTGTTTATCTATTGAAGTTGCCTACAACTCTCTTCGCCCCAGTTCTTTCTCCTGATCTCATATGTATTTTTAAAATCTTCATTTTGATGTTTTATAACTACAACGCTCAACATGTATAAGATGGAACTTAACGGATTTTTATTCCAAACCTGTTTGTCCCTTTATACCTTATCTCAGTATGCGGTACCCTCATCTACCATTGCTCAAGCCTGAAATGAAACCTGAAGACCTATTCTTAATTACTCCCTTTCCTTTCCTTGTATCTCTGAGTCTAGTGAATTGTAGCTCCTCACTCTTTCGAGTATATACCACTTGGCATTCCTACTGCTATTATCCTATTTCATGTCGCTAGCATCACTAGCCTGCTTTGCAAAAACAGCCTGATAGCTTCTTCTCCTTTTCCAATCTTCGCCTCACTCTACTTCCTCTATCCCTCTTCACTCAAAAACCGAGTAAATAGAATGGACTTCAAAGTAAACAAATCTGAGAGTGATACTTCTCTGCTCAAACCCTTTCAACAATTTCTCATTTCTCTCCCCCCCTTTTTTTTCTTTTTGGAGACAGGTTCTTGCTCTGTCGCCCGGGCTAGAATGCAGTGGCCTCATCATAGCTCCCTGCAACCTCAAACTCCTGACCTCAAATGATCTTCCCACCTCAGCCTCCCAGAGTGCTGGGATTATAGGCATGAGCCACCGCACCTGGCCTCATTTCTCTTAAGTTGCAATACAGGCTCCTCATGACCTGCAAAAGTCTGCATTATCTGGTCCCTGTGACCTTTTCAGCCTTAACTTTGCACCCTCCCTCTCACTCTGCACCGTCTAACTAGAGGGGCATAAAGGGAGAAGGGCAACTAGGATTTCTGGGACCATTCTGTAAAGATACTAGAATATCAGTAAAATAAATCAGAAACATAATATCCATTTTCCACCTGTGTTCTTTTTTTCTTGAAAGTTGAAGATTTTCATTTCTTATTTTGTCTATATACACAGGAGGTTAGGGGTCTGGAAAAATCACCAAATAAAAAGCAAGATAGATCAAGAATTAGAAAAATTTTTTGATCGTCATCAGAAGAGTGACTCTATTTTAGCTTAGTGGGAGTGAATTAATAAGTGAACCTTTTCCTGTATTTAATTTTTATTAATATGAAATTATTTCTCTATCCCATAAAAGAGATCTTTAACAAATGTCTAAAGAATATCACCTTGGAGGTGTGCCTTCCTGTCTGGGATGCCACATATTTTGGTCAAGCCCTGGGTCTCATCTGTGCTTCTGTACATGCTGTCATTTTTGCTTGCTGCATTCTTTGCTTCTGTCTTATGATAAGCTGCTATACATATTTCAGGACACAGCTAAGAGACATAGAGTTGCCTTCCCTGACTTTTCTTCATCATCAGACCTTTCTCCAGGTGGAGTGAGGGGCTCCTCCTCTTGAACCACACCTATCCTAAAGGTGGTCATCCATTCTATTAATAATATAGTTGTCTTTATACTCTTTGTATCCCCTTCCAGATTGTTCCTGTGGGTGTACACTATGTCTATATTGTTTATTCCTGTTGTAGTCTCAGTCTATAGGACTGGACCTGGCTCATAGTAAGTGCTTAGCATAATATTTGAATGAGCAAATGACTGACTGAAAATCTTCTGACACTGTTTTTCCTTTTTGCTATATCAATGGGTATAAGGTTAACTTACCTTAAGTTAAAATGTCTAGAATGCTGGAAAGGATGAACAGAGGACAGGAGTAGTTACTAGGAAGGAAGTTTTATGTGATAATCTGAGAAAGGAGAATATATACTCAATTAAAGAGTGTAACCAGGCCGGGCGCGGTGGCTCACGCCTGTAATCCTAGCACTCTGGGAGGCCGAGGTGGGGGCGGATTGTTTGAGCTCAGGAGTTCGAAACCAGCCTGAGCAAGAGCGAGACCCTGTCTCTACTAAAAATAGAAAGAAATTAATTGGACAACTAAAAATATATAGAAAAAATTAGCCGGGCATGGTGGCGCATGCCTGTAGTCCCAGCTACTCGGGAGGCTGAGGCAGCAGGATTGCTTGAGCCCAGGAGTTTGAGGTTGTTGTGAGCTAGGCTGACACCACGGGACTCTAGCCCAGGCAACACAGTGAGACTCTGTCTCAAAAAAAAAAAAAAAAAAAAAAAAAAGAGTGTAACCAGATGTATAACCAAAGATAACCAGAATAAATTAAGAAAATAATTCTTAATTAGGTATTTCCATACTCCACTGAGACTAAAGGTTTAATCTCTCAAAGAATAGTCAGTTTGGGAGAATCTGATATCAAGTTTTGTGCCCAAAAGTGAGAGGAGGGGTTTTATGAGCCCAAGGGTGTTAGGTATTATAAAGAGCTCTACTTCATTAGAATTAAATTACTTTTTACATTGGCATCTAATCAGAATTGGAAAGTAATTTGGATTTAGTATGTCAGCATCCACACCAAAAATTGATTCTCATAGCAAAGAAGTTTTACATCACAGCTGAATTGTGCACTTTTTTCTCAGCACCTGACTATGTTGGGGGCTCTGAAGAAAGTCAGATGTCAGTCATTTTAGAAGGCAGGGAAGAATCTGAAGATTATGAGATGTACACGACCTGTTCTTCTATACTGGTAGATTCATTTGCCCTTTGCAGCTGAGATCTGTGCTAACCCCAGAGTCACTCCTGAATTCTCTACAGTGATGGGCAAGAGGCGCTGACCTCTTCTTAATTTTCAAAGTGCCTTAAAAGGACTTGATGGAGCATTTTGGTTTAGTTTAGGCTCTGGCGCTTGCTGCGCCACCTCCTGAGAAATGACTCTCTATGTGGTAATTTTGTACAGGATTTCTTTCAGTTCTCATCAGACTGGGCCCTAGTTAGCCAGTGAGATGATAATACTTTCCCTGTGAAATTAGCTATAGTTTTAGACTGATAAATATATCATGCTGCTATTTGAAAGCATGTATTAAATTTCAATTATACATTTATAGGTATTAAAGGAAAACATGAAAGTATGTTCTTTGGAGAGAATTGCTGCTACCAGGAACCTTTCATTCTAAAGTAAGCTTATTTTTTTACTAGAGAGTAGATTCTCTTCTTGTGTTGATGTCTGCTCATCAGTATGTGTTCACCACTGTTTGAATCCAGGGTTCTTTTATGTTTAATATCCAAAAGACACCCCATTCTGTTTTGTGTTTAGGGCAACAGGAGCCTGGTACCTTGACAAAAGGTAAAACTCCACGTTAAATATGTTACTGTACAACTTACATTCATCGATTCATTATATAATTCCATTGCAGTTTATTTGACATTGTTTATGTTATGGTAACTAACTTATAAAATGTGACTGATTTTTTTTTTTTTTTACTAGGGAGCAGAAGTGGATAACTTTATTTGGGGATAAAGACAATTGCTCTCATGTTGGTTTGAGAACTTCAACCCTGAGGGCAGGTTCAGAGTTTTCTTTTAATTCAAGGCCAACTTTGTACAGTTTTCTGCCATAAGGAAAAAGGGAGCACTGCAGATAAAAGAAGGGAATGGGAAGAATAAAAACAGACTTTTAAAAGTAAGCAGCAGCACAAAGATGATTGGGAAATTCTTAGCCAAAACCAACTTTGGCAGTTTGGTTGGAGGAAGAAAAAAAACTCCAAGTTCTGGTTCTATTACTTTTACCCCTAAATAGGTCTCATTTATCCTTGGTATCTGAGCTTTTAAAAAACAACAAAAGACCCTCCCCCACAAACTTGGATTTATCTTAATTTAATAATCACTTTGGGGGTGGAAAGGGCCACTGTGTCCCAGGCCCAGTGGTATTTTTGATAAGTTCTCTTCTCAGAAGGAAAAACACCAGGTATGATTAGTGTCCCTTTTGTGTACAGTCACTTTGTGGGATGGCAGATGGTTCTATGTTAGGAGTTCCCAAACTGTAGTCTACTTTGAATACTCTTCAGACCCTGACAAAAAGCTCTCTGCTAGAAACAAAGTGGGTACCCAAGAACAAATTCGGGTATGTTCAGTAAAGATAGGGCTACTGAAACCAACAGAAATAGCAACTAAAGATGACAACTGGGGTTGTTACACAGTGATCAGATGCTCTGTCTACCACTTATGTAAAAAGAAAATTCACTTTTATGCATTTTGGTAGATAGTCTTTTTGGGGGAAGATAAAGAAAGACAATGTCTTCCATACTGAACAGGTCTGTTAAGTGAATACTTGACCGTTTCCTTGGAAACTGACTTTTGCTCTTTCCTTTTATTTCCATTAGCATCAGGAACTCATTGCCTTGTTTTGGCTAGCTCTTTCCCAATCTGTCTTCAGAAGAGTCAGTTACTAAGAAATGCTTGAGCCTCCATTTTTTTAGGTGACCAAAAGTGGGAACGTTAGTGTTCACAATAACAAAACCATTATTGCGCTTCCATGTATCCACAGAGTACCCCCTTCCCAGAATAACTACTCAGCTGTGCAGGAAGGGCTCTTGTTCATCCAGCTTTGGCAAAGAGATATTACTGGGGGGGCCACAAAATACTCTTCCACGACATGATGAGAGTTGTGTAGTAGTTCTTCAGTACAGTTGCCTTCAACTACATTGTTGGATCTCAAGTATAGACATCTGTCCTCCAGTACGGACTCCATGGGTTCCACCCCGTCCGTGTGCACGGCGTGGAGCCGGTCGGCGAAGGCGATGGCTTTCTCCAGCCACGCCACCGCCTCGCGGCTGCCGAAGTCCACGAGCGCTAGACGCTCCAGGTGCTCCATCACCTCGGCGGTGACTCGGCCACTTCCCTGCGGATCCACCTTGGAAGTGAAGCCCCAACGCCCGCCCAGCGGGGCCCGAAGGCCCAGCCACACTCAAAATGTGACTGATTTCTGATGTTGAAACAATTAGAATAATTTAGATTCTAAATTTGGATTTTCATATGTAAAATGGGAAAAATATATAAAAATATTGCTGAGTAGGCCGGGCGCGGTGGCTCACGCCTGTAATCCTAGCTCTCTTGGGAGGCCGAGGTGGGCGCATTGTTTGAGCTCAGGAGTTCGAAACCAGCCTGAGCAAGAGCGAGACCCCGTCTCTACTAAAAAAATAGAAAGAAATTAATTGGACAACTAAAAATACATAGAAAAAAAATTAGCCGGGCATGGTGGCACATACCTATAGTTCCAGCTACTTGGGAGGCTGAGACAGAAGGATTGCTTGAGCCCAGGAGTTTGAGGTTGTTGTGAGCTAGGATGACGCCACGGCACTCTAGCCTGGGCAACACAGTGAGACTCTGTCTCAAAAAAAAAAAGAAAAAATATTGCTGAGTGACTGTGTTCTAAAGTATAAGACAGGCTTGAATTTTAGCATTTATAACTGTTAAATGGCTCTGAGTTCTAGGGCAATTAATCAACCTCTGTGAATGAGTTTCTTTCTCTGTAAAAGATGAATAGAATCCAGTTTGTAGAGTGTCCTGAGGACTAGAAATATATGTAAAGATGCTCAGTAAATAAATAATAATTTGATGATAACATTAGCAAGCTAACTTTCCAACTTCAATATTTACTAGAATATTATTTTCAGAAGATTTTATTATTATTAGCTCTTTAATGCTATGTTCTGAAATCAACTATCAGATAAATGACATGTCTAGAAATTCCCCACAACTCTTTGTTTTACTGGTTAACTGTGTTTACTTTGGGTGAGGGATCCCTTCTTTTTTTTCTAGTAGAAGTGATTGTGTGAATCAGGTGAAGCAAGTAGTAATTTTAATCATAATCTAATAGAGAAGGGAAAGAATATGTTTAAATTTTGATCCTTAATTTAGAAAGGAAATAATAAGGCAATTGCCAGTTTACTGTAAGCTAAAGGCAAGATGAGTCCTGGGATATAATGAGCACAAAGTTCCTTTCACTGAGAGAGGTAAAAGCTAGCCTGCAGAAATTCAAAATCACTCTTCTCTTGATCTTCCTTTTCTGTCTTTTCTCTTCTTTCATCTGATTGTTAAGTGTTCATATTCTTGGGCATCAAACAGCTGCAGGGATTTTCTTCTTCCTGAACTCTGGATGGTTAAAGGAATGGTCATACTGAGTTTACTAATAGCAGGAATAACTTTGAAAATAAGACTAATGTGGGAGAAGAAAAAATATGTAATAGCAGCTCAAAAGTTTGAAAGTGAAAGAATTATTCTAGTGTTTTCTGAACATATGTTATACTCATAAGAAAAAATTTTAAATCATTTGTCCTGCCGTCTCTCTTTTTCCTTTCTCTCTTGTTGATATTTGATGATTGCAGTCATTTTCAATAGATTTGATTTTGCCATAAGATGCATAAAACAAAGGAATCAAATATACAAATGTATTTTAGCAGAACCATTAGATGATAAACTACAATAAGACACAATCTCCTGGTATGTACACTAGTTCCACAATCCAAAATATGATAATCAGAAACCAAAAATAAACATATATTCTTGGCCAGGTGCGATGACTCATGCCTGTAATCCTAGCACTCTGGGAGACCGAGGTGGGAGGATTACTTGAGCTCAGGAGTTCAAGACCAGCCTCAGCAAGAGTGAGACCCTATCTCTACTAAAAAAAAAAAAAATATATATATATATATATATATATATTTTATATATATGTTCTTGCATAGGTAAACTTGTAGTTCTCCAAATATTCAGCAAGAATTAACTATTTGTTTTACCAGTGATATCATGTTATTCAATATCATCAATCTGTTTTCATTTTTATAAATAATAAGCACCTAGCCATAGGTTATGTTTAATTATGAGTAACTACACAATACAGATACGCAGGCTGTCAGAGAAACATAATAAAATTAGTTATGTATTTAGGTGCATGTAACAGAATATCCAACACACTCCTAATTAACAGAAAATCCTACAACAATGAATTATAGAAATAGAGGTTTGTATTTCTCCCTTATGAAGAAAGTGAAGGTGGGTGGTTTGGCCTTACCATGGATTCATCCTTCCTTATCTTTCTGCTCTATTATCCTTAGCATATGGTCACTATTTTTATGCTTAGAACATGATTGGGCACACGTGCTGGCTTACTATGTCTATTTTAGCCAAGCATATGTTAGCTTTCCTATAAACCCCATCTAGGTCTTTTCATTTATCAGAGCTGTCCCATGATCATCCTTAGCTGAAAGTGAGCCTCAATGATGCACACACATCTTCCTGAGAAATTTCTCTTTGTTTCATCCCTCACAGCTTCCTGGGGCTCTTTCCCTTTCTCCAAAGAGGAAACTACATCTGGCAAAAGATGAAAAGCCCCAGGGAGACCATCCTCTAGCATCACACGTAGGTACAGAACCTTCTTACCAGAGTCTGGGCATTCCCACTCTTTCGGAGAGAAGTCTACAGTCTCATCCCTCAATATTACCAATCCCTGGGTTGTAGCTTTTAGTTTGCTAGACCTGCTGTTTGTTTTTCTGGATTCTTTTCTTGGGGAGATATAGAGACTTTTTAGCTGCTCTGTCTCAAAGTAAGCTGATTCAGTCTCTTCAGTCACTTGGCTTCTATGAGGGAACTCCACTACCTTTTCTTTTTAATTTCATAAATAGTTTACTCTTAAAAAATATAAGAGTGTTTTGAGATGAAATCAGTTTGTTAATTACTAATAATTTTTCCATATTATCTTGGGCTCATTAAGAAATGGTCAGTTTTATCTTTAAGTTATATGGAGAATAGAGTGTTTGTGGAATTAGAAAGAAAAGGAGAACTAAATTAAAGATGTCAATTAATTTATGCTCCGTCTTTAAAATATGAATTGTTTTTTTGTTCTCTAACTACATACAAGCTTATGAGTCTTTAACGTTATACCTTTGTATGGTTTTTTTTTTTTTTTTTTTTTTTTAATTACGCTGTGTAATGTGAACAAAAGTTCTCTGAAAAGGAATTTGGAGGAAAGTACCTTTATTCAAGTGAATAGTTTGCAAACTGGGGAGATGCAGCCTTCAGTGTAAAGTATTCCAGAGAATAAAGAGAAGGGTCGAGTTTTATAGCAAAAGTTCCCGCCCAGGTTCCCAATCAGGTTTGAAACTTGCTTAGTTCTGATTTGGTTGATACAGCTGAACACTGATTGGTTGATACAGGTAAGATCTGATTGTTTGGTTCAGGTGAATTCTGAAAATCCCAAAGATAAAAAGGTACAGGTTTTCAGGGAACTCAGAGTATGTTTGTGCCCCCTTGTCAGCAAATGGCTGCTTGGCTCTATTTTAAATTTAGGGCCAGTTAGCCGCTTGGTATCCATCTTGAAGGATAGGCCCTTTCAGGTTGACATTTGCTCATAGTAATTATCCTTTACGGTTGTCGTTTCTGTGCTTTTTTTTTTTTTTTTTCCTCCCAGCTCTTATCATTCTGCATTAAAAATTTCTGACACTTTTATTTGCTTGTTTATTCATTTTTTGTTTACACCTGGGAGTCTTACATCCTCTTGACGATTTTAGTTGACAGTGCCATTTGGTTGTTTAAGTTGTACTTACTAGTGATAGGAGTTTAGTGAAATACCAGGTCTTTTTTTTGCTTCACTTTTCCAGGGTGTCTTTTATTGAAAACTGTGTGCTATCCGTATGGTATTAGGCAAACCTCTACCCACAAATATAACACATAAGCAGGAAGTACATTGAAATAAGAGTGGTGTCAAAACTAAGCGCTGCAACAGGTTCAAAGAACCTTTAAAGTCGGAGGACATTTGAAAATGTGGTGGAGATTGTTTAGAGAATTACAACTTGTGTTAGATTGGATTTTTTTTAAGAGTTTTTATTCTGAAATAATTAGATACTCATAGAAAATTATAAATAGAATACAAAGAAGGCTCCTGTACCCTTCACCAGGCTTGCCCCAGTGGTAATATCTTGCATAACTGTAGTGTGGTATCGAAACCAGGAAATTGACATTGGTACAATCTACAGACCTTATTCAGATTTCTCATGTTTTTACATAAGCTTATTTGTGTGTGTGTGTGTGTCTATACTTATTTACAATTTTATCACATGTATTATTGTAACTGTCACTACAACGAGGATACAGAACTGTTCCGTTACCACAGAGGAACTCCCTTGTGCTACCCCTTTATACTCACACCACGATTCTCCCCCCACCCATTCCTAACCTTTGGCAACCACTGATCTGGTTTCCATCTCTATACTTTTTTTCATTTTGAGAGTGTTATGTATAAATTAAATCATATATAACCTTTTGAGATTGGCCGTTTTTCACTCAGCATAATGCCATTGAGATGTACTCATATTGCATATATCAATAATTTGTTACTTTTTGTCATTGTCATTGTATGGATTATGGATGCGCCATCCATCTAGTTTGTTTATTCACTTGCTGAAAGACATTTGGATTGTTTTCAGGTTTGGCTATTACAATAAAACTATGATATGAATATTTAGGTTTTATTTCTCTGGGATAAATGCCCAGGAATGTGATGGCTGGGTTATATGGCAAGCATTTGTTTAAGAGGATACTTTGAGTAGCAAGGCACTTTATGGTCCTGTATCTCAGTCAGTTCAAAACCATTGGCAAAGGGCCAAATTTTATTCTGTAAATATTTAAGCTAATAATATGTATCCCAAATTTTTGAAAATAAGTAATCCATGTATACTAATGGAGTTAACCAAGTTAATTTTTTGATGGTCATAATGATTTTTGTAACTTTTATTACAAATAAAAGGGTTTTTGTTGTTAGTATTATCAAACTTGCTGTTTCTTACATATGCACTATGAGTTTTACTGTTGCATATGGATCTTTAGGATAAAATATAGATGGTGACCACATGCAGAAAACTATTCCCCAGAAATGATGTCCCAGGTTATACATGAGCATCTGAGTCACG